TGAATTTACTCTGTAAATCTTCACCCAAATCCTAATTAAAAAAAAAAAAAAAAAAAAATCACACTTTCACCAATAACAATCAAAACTCAAAAACTCACTGCTGTTGAGTTGGATCCGACTCATAATGACCCCTCCTTGGGTTTCCAAGGCAGTATCACTACGGAAGTATATTGCCCAACCTTCCCTCCAAGGAGTGGCTGGTGGGTTTGAACCACCAGCCTTCTGGTTAGCAGTCAAATGCCTTAGGCACTACTCCACCAGAGCTCCCCACGACAGAGTTATAAAAAAATTACTTTAAAGCAAATGTTCCCATCTTAAGAGTTGTTGACCTCTGGAGGACTTCATAGGTGTCATAAGGGTCTACAAAATCCGTGTGTACACAAGCATTGTACATATACAGAATAAGAATCTCACATGTGCATTATAAATTTCCAAATGATATAATAAGTGTTCTGAATGATAAAACATAACTTTTACCTTAAAAATGCTATGAATTATAGAGTGGCTTTTTGGCAATTATATTTTCACAATCATTAGATAATAAAAATAACACTTGGAATAAATAGATAATAAAAAGAGGCCTCAGAAGTTTTTGACTCTAAGAGTCTCATGCTTTACTTGTAAAGGTTGGAAGCCTCTGTCCTAAAAGATTATGCTTGCTTTTGTAGAAATCATCTAAATTCAGTATACGAATCTAAGTCTGTTAATTCAGATACATGAATGTGCCAGCTCTTGAGCAAGTCTTTGTAAGGCATGGACAGGGAGAGGAAGCCTGCTTGCTTACAACAGACAGAATTATACTACAAGATTAAAACAAAGCATATTTTAATAACATTCATCTTTCTGCTTAAGTGAACTTCATATGCTATAACCAAATTAATGGCATAGAAATTTACTAGATCAGAACAGGAGAAAATCCTTGTGACTTCCACAAATATTCCACAATGTCTAATAACCTGGCATCTTAGAACATATTCCAAAATTATCTCAGGTTAGAAAATGTTAAGGTTGTTAAAATAACTAGAATTTAAATTACTTATAAATTCCCCATGGTTCAGCATATAGTTTTAGATAACACTTTAAAATTACAGTCAGTGGGTAGAAAGATCAAACATGCTGTGATTATATGCTGTGATTTATATTAAATGAAACCAACTGACCAAAAAACAGTTCAAATCTCAAATGATTTATATAAGGTTTCAAGTGATATCATGTACTATTTTGAATTGAACAATTTCCTTTGATGCAAGTCCTCTCTTTCTAACCATACATTGATAAGGTATAAAAGAGACAAGATGGGATTTTAAAATGAACTTATAAATGTGACTGTTCAAACTGCACATTATTCACTGGAAATTATCTGGGTTCTTTTTTTTTTTTTTTTAAATAATCTACAATGTTAACATGTTTTCTTATTTTTTACTTCTTTTTGGTAAAAGAATTCAGAAAAGTCTCTGTTCATCAGGAATTCTCTACATAAACTTCGTAGGATATCAAAGCTAAATGTTTCAGAATTTTAAGAAAATTAAGACATTATTAGAAAATTTCTAATCTGCACAATATAAAAAGAGCTGATGCCAAAACACTCTCCCAAAACTCAGCATAGGAACTGAAAATGAAGAAACTGAAAATAATAGGAAAAATAGAAGATTTATTGTATCATCTTCCCCCTCACCTCAACCTCAACCTCCAACTTACTGAAGTATTGGGAAGCTATTTAGGAGGTATAAAAACCCTGAGGAATTATTTCTAAACAGATGCCTTAACCAGGTAAAAGGAAGGTCAAGAATAACTTATCTAACAGCAAAACATAGCAGTTTTTGCAAAAAAGTATTTTATGTCCAAGATGCAATCAGGTTCATTTATTATGAAAAGAAACAAAGAATAAGAAACGGAGGAAGATTGTTTGCTATAAAGATGATGAAATCAGATCAAGCCGAGTGTTCCTGAGAGCCTCCTGCCTTCAATGAACAAAAACAGTATATAATTTTATTTGAGGCTCCAAATAAACTAGAAATCTCTTGAGGGTAGGGGCTGTTTTTCCCGTTAGTGACAAGAATCACGCTGTAAACAAAGCCTTTCAAAAATATTCTTAGTAATATTTTATATTTGTAGAATTTTTAGGCAAATATATAGACTCAGAGGTGGACTTGCCTAAGGTCATTCTCCTATTAAGAAACAAGGTCAAAACCAGACCCCACTTTGTGAAATAGCCAGTCTTGTATTCTTTCTACAACTCCATGCTGGCATTTCTAACTGCCTTTAATTGTCGGTAAATATGATGACAAAACATTTCACTATTTCTTCCACCCTGAAGAGGATACTTTAACCACAACCGTTTTCAGATTCTCTTCAGCAAAAGAAACAGTAATACTGCTCCTGATGCTCTGGCTTCCTTTAATGTATAAGCTCTATCGCAGGAGATCATCTATGTGAAGCGGAAAGTGACAGACAGATTTTCAGTTGTTATTCTGAACATGACTTAAACGAGATCTTAAGTTAGACAATGCCTCTGGACCTTTTTTTTTTCTTTTTTTATTTAGGCAAAGAAAGCTATCACTCTATATTTTCAGAGTATATATCAAATGCAAAGAGCTTTGGTGGACCAGTGGTTAAAGCACTGAGCTGCTGACTAAAAGGTTAGCAGTTCGAACCCATCAGCCCCTCTACAGGAGAAAGATAAGGCAGTCTGCTTCCGTAAAGATTTATACCCCTATGTGGCAGTTCTACTCTGTCTTATAGGGTCACTATGAGTGGAAAATGACTCAAAGGCAGTGGGCTTGGTTTTTGGTTTATATCAAATGTATTGTAAGGATAAAAACATCAGCTTTAAGTATTGATTTGGGTGAAGAGAGGGGCAATGTACCAAATGTGAGTGACCAATATGGCAGCATTGAGGATAAGAAAGACATAGAGAGGTTCATGAGAAGTACAGACAACAAATATGAACCCTTTTGTACATAACAGTACTGCATTGTCAGGCTAACTTGGGTATATGGGTGGATAGATGGGTGGACAGGCTGAACGATTAGGTATGTCTACGAAATGGGGAGTGTATCCAAGAACATATATAGGGTTGGCAGACAATGGTCCTATAAGTTTATGTGAATGATCAGAATTCCCAGGTGTATAGTAGAGCTGACAAGGGACAAGGTTGTGGTCACAGCTTGGTCACAGCCAGCTACCCAGAGGGACCGAGTAGCTGAACCTGCGGGCTTGGGACCATAGTCGCAGGGGGACATCAAGCCCAACTGGCATAACATACTATACAAAACATTGTTCCACCTCCTACTTTGGCGAGTAGCGACTGGGATCTTAAAAGCTAGCAAGCTGCCATCTAGATGCAACGATGGGTGTCTCCTCATCCAGAGCAAAGAAGAATGAAGAAAACCAAAATTCATAGAAACAATTAGTCCTAGTGACTGGTACACCATCCAATCTGCAGGCTATACAACTATGAGACCAGAAGAACTACATGGTGCCCGGCCACCACCGTCATCTACTTGGAAGGGGATCTATGTAGGAGATCCTTGATAGAGAGGGAGAACAATGAGGAACAAAACTCAAAATCATTTGGAGAAAAAAAAAAAAGGGGGGGGGACCATGTTTGCTGGTCTGATAGAGCCTGGTGGAACCACTGAGACTATGGCCCCTAGCTGCCCTTCAGGTCTGGAATTAAACCCACACCTGTGGTTTCCAGCCAAACAAAAGATAGGCATATGAGTTGAACATTTACCTCAAGAAGAAACACTCCTTGGAGAGAATAATCATGGGAGAAAGAAGGGCTGCTTATGCATAGGGAGACAGCTCAGGGGGCAGGAGTGCATGGAGGGATGGACATAGGGAAGAGTTAACTATCGGGAGGAAGTAGGAGGGGAGATGTTGCATTGTGGTAAATTGTGGTCAATGTCATGAGACAAAGAATATGTGAACCACTGTATGGAAAGTGAATTTGCTCTGTAAACCTTCACCCAAATCACAATAAAAAAGAACTGACCAAAAAAAAAAAAATCAGCTTATATTCATGCCTATCTAAGAGTTAAATAGCTTATATCTAAAAAATTAAGTTAAATCATAATTACCTTTAGTTTGTTTGCTTCTTTTTTATCCCCAGCAAAAAACGAATTCTCATCAAAATGCAAAGGAAATGATCTACATTTAAAACAGAGAATATTCATTTTCATTAATTATAAAATATTACAAGTGCTGCTAATATATTTTGATGATCAGTGATAATAAAGTCAAAAATATAATAAAACCAACTTCTGATGGCACAACAGAAATTCTTACTGTCCAGTCTAAATCCTAATTGTATAATATAGAAGTTTGGCCCCAAATCCAATCTGTTCAACTAAGTAAGAACATAATGCAAGTATTAAGCAGTAAAAAGAATGGCTACTAAAATTAAACATGTGTACTTTAGAGTACCCAGACAAAAAATAAAATAAAAAAGAGAAAAAACCCTATGACAAAAGCTATGCACAAATATCTTTTTAAAGATCTATGAACAAATATAACTTTCAATTATTTTCTAAATAATTTTCTTTTCTCTAAATGGCTATTTAAGAATTCAATTCTAAATAACACTTTTCATTCTTCTATTAATGTGTAAGTTGTAGAATATAATTTACTTGACTTCATGAAGTATATCCAGTAGTAACATTTTATTTTCTGCATCCTGAACTTTATTTCCAGTGAAGAGCTGAAAATCTGGGCGCTCAAAGAATGGCAGCACTTTAGATAAAGCCTTTAATTCAATTAAATAGAGAAAATATAAGTTCTTAAGTCGTCTTGGTCCTTCTCCTGCAGTCAAAACTCCATCAAACCGCTGTTGAAATTCTGTAATGTTATGTCCCCATTTCTTTTCCAACCATGTGTCTAGGAAGAAAGAAAAATTAAATATTAAGCACAGAGTTTTTTAATTAATTAATTTTTATTTTAATTATACTAGGTTATTTATACCTATAGAAGTTCTTTTTCATTTTAAGATATATAATAAATATAATCATGATAACTATTTTTCCTAAGTTAGTCTTTAATATTCCACATTAATATGTTACCTTCTAAATAAAATAAACTCAAAGTTTCACTGAAAGGCCAGATTTTAATAAAAATCAAATTTCTGGATATAAACATACTCACAAAACCAAAATACACAATTGAAAAATGATGATCTGAAATTATTAATCAGTTTGAAACTCTATTTAAAATGAAAGCTACTATATTTTGTTTCTAAGACACAAGAGATTCTTTAATTCCAGAAGAAATATGTCACTGATGAAACTGGACTGTGGTCTCATTTGTCAACCTCACTCTTAAAGCATAAAGAGTGGCAGGGGATGTTCTCACCCACCTAACACCTGGCTGGGAGGGGTGCACGTGAAAGCATTTCTGATACAGTAATGGTTACTGATAATGAACTGTGCTAGCAGGAGCTATTTAAATTTCAAAATAAAGCAAAACAAAAAAAGGAATCTTTTCAAAGGGATTTGTACAATTGTAAGCAGCTTCTCAGAAGAAGGTGAAAGGAACTAAGAACATGTAAACTATTCCTTAGAGTATCTACAATCCTGATTATTACCATTTAAGAATGGATTTCTACTGCCTAATATTCAATCAGCTCAATTTTTTCCTATCAGATAAATATCAAGAACTTTTAAGAATACCTGAAAATAAGTATGATAAAGTGACTAAAAGTGACTGTCACATACCTTGTAAAAGATACCTTGCACTCAGGTGCACATTAATGCTTGCATGTAGACCAGATATGAGCCTGTAGAATGCTCTTTTTTCTACACAGAGACCTAAACAAAGACAGTAATTTAGAAACAGAATTCATCTGTGAAACTTGTAAGATAAAAATTAATTTCATGATTCTTTAAAAATGAGAATACAGATTTTATCATTTAAATGTATTTAAAAGTTTCCAATTACCTTCTAGCCAACTGTAAAAAGTATTTTCTGAAATTAAAAAGAAAAATAAGTCACAAGATTGTAAAAATGCCAAAATGTAAGCTTTTCAAAAGTTTTAAAATAATACAGCAAATTTGGGGCAAAGACTAGTATGAAGGTTGCTTATCTAAATGTCCAAATCTTTTTACAACTTCTCCAAAGGAAGAAGAAAAGTTCTTGGTTTCGATCCAGTTAGGTATTATTTTACACTGTTCATTTTTTAAAAGACTTGCAGCACCACCTTAGGCTACTCTGTCCTATAGAGTTGCTATTCGTCAGAATCAACTAGACGGTAATGGGTTTGGTTTTTTAATAGGTAGGCTCAGTCTCATAACCTCTAGATAAAGTGTTTTATATAAAATACAGAATTTAAATAGTAATTCAAAACATGGAAAAATACCTAGTCTCTATAAAAATTCATGCTATGAAAATTAAGGACCCATTAAATGCATGTTAATTTAGAAAATTAAAATTATCAGACAGTACTAGAGGTATATTTGTGCATAGCTGATAGTATTATATACTATTCAGTATTCCAAAAGAGCAATTAAGGAAAAATGTTATAAAAACCAAACATCACATATATGTCCTATGACCTACTAAAATCACAGCTCATACACTTAGACCTAGTAATTCTGCTTGTAGGATTATGTGATAAAGAAATAACCCAAAATGAAGGTGGGTGGGTAATTTGTACTAAGATGATCATGTTACATAAAATTTAAAAGTAAAAGATACTCAAAATGCACAATACTAATGCTTAAGTCAACATGACAGAATACTATATAACTAGTTAATATAATGTTATATAATTATTAAAATAACAAGAATATGGAATAGACAATACAGGAAAGTGTTTATTTGAAATAGGTTGATACAAAAAGGCGTAAGAAATCATTATAATAATTATGTAAAAATGCTTGTATGCATTTGCTACAGAAATGGCAAACACTTTACTATTCAGTTCTTTTGACTAAAGTTGAAACAAATAAGTATAAGTAATGGAAGGAATGAAAAACAGAATAAATAAATTAGACACAAATCTGTCAGGAAACTTCATCAACAAAGTAGAATTGTAAACAACAAAAGGGAAAAAATGTATGTTGCAAATATACTTAATACAGAAAAAACTCATAAACTGAATAAAAATGATGAAATGCACACTAAAAAAAGGTCAAATATCACAAATGAAAAAATACACATGGAGCTCTCGTGGCATAGTGCTTAAAGCATTCAGCTGCTAACCAAAAAGTCAGCAGTTCAAACCCACCAGCCACTCTGCAAAAGAAAGATGAGGCAGTCTGCTTCCATTAAGAATTAGTCTTGAAAACCCTATGGGGGCAATTCTATACTGTTCTATGGGTTCACTATGAGTCAGAATAGACTCAATGGCAGTGGGTCTAGTTTAGAATAACATAAAATTCATTCAGTCTCATTTTGGGAGCTCTGGTGGCATAGTGCCTAAGGCACTTGACTACTAACCAGACGCCTAGAGGTTCAAACCCACCAGCCACCCCTCGGAAGGAAGGTTAGGCAATCTACTTCCGTAGTGATACTGCCTCGGCAACCCAAGGAGGGGTCACTATGAGTCGGATCTGACTCGATGGCAAACACAACTTTAACAATAAAAAATGCAAATTGAAACAATAAAGTATTTTTACCATAAAATTAACAAAGATAAAAATATACTACCACTTAACGGTGACAAGGGTAAGATAAGACGGACCAGCAAGCTAATTGGAGGGACTTATGGCTAACTCAAATGTTTCAAAAACTATACTCCACACAATCTCCTTTCAAAAAAGATCACCAGTCTTTCTTCCAAGCTGCCTCTGGGTGGGTTCAAACATTTTGGCCAGCAATCAAGCCTTAACCATTTGCCCTTCCCAAGGACTCTACTCATGCCTAGAACCCTCAACCCCAGCAAATCCCACAGTTCAGCCAACAAAGAAGAGGGAGAAGTTTCCCCTGACAGAGGCCAGGACAAATGCCCATCTTCCAGGTTCAGTGGGTAAAATGTTTGATCAAATTATCAGAGGCTGAGGCAGGCTGTCATTAGTGCCTCAGCTCAGGCACAGTCATTTTCGTCCAACTTGTGATTTTACCTCCAGATTTTCAGATAAAGAAATAAAAATAAAATTCTTCTGAGTCTGAAATAGGAGTTAAAAATAGGGTTTGCCACAACAGACATTTATAAGCAAACTTATATAGAGAATGTATGATAAAGACATTATCCTTACCTTCATTTTTCCCTGAAAAAGGAAACAAAATGTTGATTACTATAAACTCTTCCAGATGTATCTTTTAACACGCTACATTTTCATGATACAGGATTTATTAATACTGGTTAATGGTAGACTATCAGTTCATCCATATAAGCAAAATCTTAGTGCAAGACACCTGTGACTGCAATTCCACCTAGTGGCGCTGTGAATCATGCCTGATTCAACTAAACGGCACCATCTAAATGGCAGCATCTCCTGGGGCCTTGGTAAAGAATAGTTTCCACTCACATAAGATTTAATATGGGCTGACAGGAGGGAAAAATCTAAACCACCATCTAAAAGTACTATTAAATAGCTCAATGACTTATTGTTATTTGGCTGGCAGACAGCCACACTTATTTATCCTAAAATTATAACATAGTTTCTGTCAAAGATTTGTGTTACTTCTTTGAAATCTCCAGAATGACACTATAGAATTTAGTTTCATTCAGTAATATTTTTAAAAAACTATTTGTAAGATTCAAATTATGCAGGCTGCAACAATTTATATGTAGCTGCTCATTTACTGTTGAATAAATGTCTTCATTTTGTCTGTATTTCTTTAATGCCCTCACTGTTTGATTATAAAATAATATATGCTCATTGCAAATACCTATTTAAAAAAAGAACACAAAAGAAATTTTAAAAATTATCCATAACCCCTTTGCCCAAAGATAAACACTGTTTACATTTTAGTAAATGTCCTTTTTTTGTGTGTGTTTAGATATTCAGATGTTACAGTATGTTCTCATAAAAATATACATACTGTTTGGAACTCCCTTTTTTATTTTTAACCAATGTGCTACTGATTGCTTTTGATATGAATATAAATTTACAGCAATGTTTATAGTGGCTATACTATACTATGTTATACGATGTGAATATACCATAACTCATTTAACCAGTTCCCTAATGATAAACATTTAGATAGTTCCCATTTATCTTTAAGGTGAGTGGGTTAATTAATTAATAAACATAACGTGAGTGCATAGTGAAGCTCATCTCGTCTATGAATTTGCATTTCATCTGATATTAAATCAATAGCTTCCACTGAGTCAACACATGACTCCTTAAAAACCCAAAAGCCTTGTTTAAGGATGTTCTTTCATACCTAGTCTAAGAAAGACCATTCTGTCAGCATTTAAGGAATGATGTAATCTCATCATTTTCCAGAAGGCCTTTTATATTTATTGACTATATGAGATCAGCATGTCTTCAAATAAATTTTTTAAATGAAAACCTTAAAACCTTACACATTTGCTAAAAGAACATCAAAGATTTCATCAGTAAGTATATATTCAAAGAGAACATGGATATATATTTCCTAAGGGAAAAAAGTTTGAAATCATAAAATGAGCTGGTTTATTCAACAAACCCTTTTCCTATTCTAGATTGAGTAGGATTTTCGATTTTATGTCCTTCTGTGGTACCCATGAGGGAGCTCTGGTAGCATAGTGCCTAAGGCACTTGACTGCTGACCAGAAGGCTGGTGGTTCAAACCCACCAGCCACTCCTCGGAAGGAAGTTGCGGCAATCTACTTCCGTAGTGATACCGCCTCAGAAACCCAAGGAGGGGTCTCTATGAGTCAGGTCCAACTCAATGGCACATAACAACAACAACATGGTACCTATGAAGGAGCTCCAGTGGCGCAGTGCGTAAGGTATTTGACTGCTAACAAGAAACTGGCAGTTCAATCCCACCAGCCACTCCATGGGAGGAAGATGAGGCAATCTACGTCTGTAAAGATTTACATCCTTAGAAACTCAGAAGGGGTTGCTATGAGTTGGAACTGACTTGATGGCAGTGGATTTGGTTTTTGGTTATGGCACCTATGAAGGAGCCCTGGTGGCACAATGGTTAAGTGCTCAGCTGCTATACATGGCAGAAAGATATGGCAGTCTGCTTCTGTAAAGATTATAGCTTTGGAAACCCTATGGAACAGTTCTCTGTATAGTCGCTATGAGTCACGAGTCAACTAAACAGCAGTGAGTTTGGCTTTTTGGTTTAGCACCTATTCTGACATGATGACAATGTGTTTGGTTTTATGGATTTATGGAATCTAAATGGCCAATGGTAATCCAATGGTCGAATTCTTGCCTTCCACATAGGAGACCTGGGTTTGGCTACTGGCCGATGCCGTCTCAAGCATAGCCACCACTTGTGTCACCACTGGAAGATGAGTAAACATAGCACAAAAAATGCACCTTCATATCAGTTTGGCTATAAAATTCATAAAAGAATAAATATATATTCTTAAGCTTCATGCAGTGATAGTCTAATATCATGAGCATTTTTCTGAAATACTCATTATTAAAATGTAAATATTTAAACACCTATTTCTCTGCAAGAGCAAGTCATAAATTTCTGTGGAAACAGGACTATGTTTTATATCCACTCAAATGCTTCTGCTAACTTTTTATCTTGCTTTCACCTTTCTTCTAACCACAGTTCACTGGCTGATAAATATAACAGTACAAATAAATAACTCACCTTGACCAGAAGCTAAAGGATTTAAAGGTCTTTTAATTGTCTGTGGCCTAGAAATAAAAGAATTAAAGTATAAAATATCAGTGTTACCAATCACATGAAAGTAAAAGTGAAACTATCTCAGAAAGTTGCTTAATGCTTGTATGCATCCAAAACCAAATTGTTTTACTGAGATTTACAAAAATTCATTTTCTCTAATTGCTTTATGGGAAGATGGTTGTCATTTGATATAGAGATAATAATTCCTAATCTCTTCCCATTGTAGCAGCCAGAAGGTCCTTTCCTAATTATTTTTTCAAAGGGGAGAAAGTATCAGTTAAGCTGCTCTCCTAGAGTCAGTAATATGGGGGGGTGGGAAGCACAGGGTACACCCCTAACTGAAAGGCAAATAAGCAATAAAATATAATTACCCAACATAAGCATTAAAACTAAAAAGAAAAGAGTATGGGTAGATTATTTCCCACTTAGATAATTTAGGTACATCAATTTGCCCTGTGGCCACCAGGTTTGTTATAATTTAAATAAAAATTAAAAAAGAAAATTAATGATAAGAAAGGCCAAAAGTTTTCTGGAGAGTCCTTGAGTCACTAAAGTGTTTTTAAATCCTAACATAAGTAAGTATGCATTAGTATTAGTAAAGTGTAGGTATTGTTTGAATAGCCATAATTTAAATTTTATAAATTTGTACAACTTGAAACATTTTGAAAAAAATAACATGTATGCTATATTTCAACATACTCAATACAATTAATTTACTGCCTCATACATTGTTCATATTTTTAGAAATAGTATAGGAATCATATGAATCAACTATATATAACTTTAAAACTAATACAAATCTAACAAGCACTTCTCCTCCACTCTTTTTTTAAGAAAGGTCACATTTTTAAAAAAACCCTTTAAAGTATGACCAAACATTCCTAATAATAATCAAGGGAATTTAAGCAAAACACATGGCAGAAATGAGTAAAATAAGATTTTAATGAAAACTCTCCATTTCCCAAACTAGAGAGATTCAAGTTAGGGGGGGAAAAAAAGCAGACTAACATTTTACTTTTATTAGCATCACTGCTGATCTCTTATGCTTATATTTGACTTATAAAAACCCAGTGCCGTCAAGATGATTCCAACTCACAGCAGCCCTACAAGACAGGGTAGAACTGCCCCATCATAGGGTTTCCAAGGTTGTAAATCTTTACGGAAGTAGACTGCCACATCTTTCTCCCATGGAATGACTAGTGGGTTTAAACCACCAAACTTTTCGCTAGCAGTCAAGTGTTTTAACTACTGTGCCACCAAGGCTCCCTGCCTTAATAAAAAGTGAAATTTATTTCCCAATACCTAAGATTCCAAAGATTTTCCCCAAACTTCCCCCAGCCTCTGAGATAGCATAACACACAAACACACAAAAAAAATATATAATTCCAAAACAGAGTTGAGAGGCTTGCACATGGATAATGTGAGGCATTTCTCAATCACCCAGTGATCAACTTGACTGCCTTCATTATAGTGGTTAAGAGTGCAAAGCTGGACACTTCCACTTATTAGATCTTTGACACTGGATCTTTTGATCTTAAAACATCAAAAAGAGAATGAGGAGATGAAGGTTTTCATGCAAACCTTGACACCAGCTACCATATTTTTCCACCAAACGCATATAGTGTGCACAGAAACAAATATGTGAAGGGATTGCATGGTTTGCAGAAAGCCATATAACGTGTGTATTACTTGTGTAGAAATATGGTCTATGATCTTGGAAAATTAAGTAAACCTCTCTGATTCTAGCTCAGCTTGTCTATAAAATGAGATTCAGTGATCTACTCAAGAAACAGTTGTTGATTGCCTATGATACTCCCATATAGGTCTAAAATTCTAAATCTTTTAAAGAGAGAAATATTTATTGAAATTCATTTCTGGAGTTTTAATCAAATCAAAAGAGAACTGTATTAAAGAATAGATATGCTTCTATGTCCAAATACATCCATTAATAAAATAGATTTTATTTATAATTTATAACCATTATGAATTTTGTTCATTTGTTTATAAAAACGAATTGGTACATCTTAAAGGAATCTCTAAATAGAAGTGACACATACTTGAAACAGTTTTCTTCATAGATGACATTCCATATCTTCCAAGCATCTGGTCCCTTGTAACCCGTGTAGCGCTCAGGATTAAGAAGCAAATCCACATATTCAGCATCAGGGGATTGTATGTCTGTAAGACAAAATGTTTAAATCTTTCTTCGGTTATCTTTAAAAGCTAGTATACATGACTGTGTCTCATTGATTCTAAGACACTACAAATGTAACAATGCACCAAGGATTTAAAAACTCTTCAGAAAGAGGAAAGGAAGGGAAAAAGGAGGAACAATCACAACCACTTCAAATGTAAACACTGGTTGCAAAAGCATCCTGATTCTAAAAATCATGAAAAATAGAAAATATGTGACTCTTAGAATTCAATCAAAGAATCGTGGTAATTTTAATTCAATTCCCATGAGCTATCCAGACAAAGAATACAATATACAATTCCCTCCATCCTTACCTACAAGCATAAATAACTAAGGTAAATGAAGAAACATTAGCACCATTTCTAGATTCCAAATAAGAACGCATTGGCATATACAGGTACATAGCTTGTTACCAGGAGCTCTGGTAGCATAGTGCCTAAGGCACTTGACTGCTAACCAGAAGGCTGGCGGTTCAAACCCACCAGCTACTCCTCGGAAGGAAGGTTGGGCAATCCTACTTCTGTAGTGATACTGCCTCGGAAACCCAAGAAGGGGTGGCTATGGGTCGGGGCCGACTCGATGGCACACAACAACAACAACAACAGCTTGTTACCAGAAAACGCTTTCTTCTTACATGAGCACCATCATCACTATCCAGCTGTCCCAAAGATACTCTCTTAAATATGAAAAAAATTATATGCAGGATATTTGTGTCAGCATTATTTATAAAAGGGAAAACTTAAAGCAACCTAAATCCAACACAGCACAGCAGTTAGGGGCATGGGCTCTGGAACCAGACCAAGTATAGGATTCAGACCCCACCACTTATTTGCTGTGTCCTTAGACGAGTTCTCTATGCCTACATGTCATCATTTGTAAAATGGGGGTGATATCCATAGTGCTATTGTGAGACTTACAAAGATTGATAAGTGCAAAGTGCTTACAAGAATGACAACAGTATAATAAATGTTAGCTAGTGGTATTAGTATTATGCTACATCTCAATAGAACATTTTACAACCAATAAAACTGTTAAGAGCAATATGAAGAGCATACAGAAAAAGCAATTACAGATACATGTATATACTTAAGTATATGTGTACACACACACATATATACACAAATTGATGTGATATTGGTTTCTCTTTTCTCTTATGTTCCATAAATTTATGAATATATATATTGTAATTTTTTTAAAAAAATGGTCCCTAGTCCTCCAGTTGCTTTGCAAAATTATTTAATACCTTACTCATCTATAAAGCCTAAAACTGGCAACCAAAATAGATGACAAAAACCCGAGCACAAAGGTACTTAAAAGAGAGTCCACTAACTCTTGAGTACCTACATCCCTGTATCAGAAAAAAATAATCTACACTTGATTATATTTTTGTCTAATTCTCAGTATATTAGAGGTATAAATATGGGAGAAAGCAGCTTCTAGATGCAAAGTGACAGCATCTAGAAATAAAAGAGAGCTTGATACAGAAATGGTAATTAAAATAACTCATAGCGACCCCTCCTGGTTTTGAGGCAGTATCACTACAGAAGTAGATTGCCCAGTCTTCCTTCTAAGGAGTGGTTTGAACTGCCAGCCTTCTGGTTAGCAATCAAATGCCTTAGGCACTATGCCATGAGAGTTCCCAATTAAAATAACTAGAAAAAGTTAATGTAAGAACTTTAAAAAACACATTAACATGGAACCATCCAGTTCAGGGACAGATAGTGCTGTTCGTATCAGTTAATAATAAATAGACTGTCACAATATAGCAAATTATAATAAATCCAGAAAAAAAAAATTCTCAGTGTCTAGTACTTTAAGATGGAAACTGATCACCAAAAAATTATTAAAATTTTTAATATTTGGTCTAATTAAAGAAGTAAACATGCCTAGTAATTTTATTTATGACAAACGCTTCCTCTCCCTAACTTAATAAAACATAAATGTTACTGAAGTCTCTATTTTGCCACATGACAGAAGCTCCAGTTTCAATAAGGATTTATAAAATATCTGCTGTACAGAACCTACATTCTTTACTCCTAAAAAGCTGTTAAATATATTTTACATTCTTCCCTCCTTTAACAGGAGAAACAGATACAAATGGGCAGGTGATTCACTGAAAGTAACAAAACTCTACCACTTAAGAAATGAATTACTGACTCTCAGTCCATAGCATACAAATCTAACCATGTAGTCTCAAGAAGATACTTTGTTAAGGAGTTAATATATGACCATTGTTTTCTTTAACACTGTTGTTGTTGTTGTTATGTGCCGTCGAGTGGGCCCCCGACTCATAGCGACCCCTCCTTGGGTTTCCGAGGCAGTTATCACTACGGAAGTAGGATTGCCCAACCTTCCTTCCGAGGAGTGGCTGGTGGGTTTGAACCGCCAGCCGTCTGGTTAGCAGGCAAGTGTCTTAGCCACTATGCTACCAGAGCTCCCTTCTTTAACACTACAGGTCTAAAAAAAAGTCTGATGTTATAAATTTAATTTTATCAATATAACAATGTTCAAAGCCAAAGAATCCTCATGGAAAAGAGGGTAAAACAAGGGGGGAGGTGGAGGGAGGACTTTATCCCCCCCCCCCCTTTACTAGTTAAAATCTTGGTATAAATCCACAATCCTTTATCCAACAAACCTAGTTCCAAATGTGTCTTGGAATTAAGAACTTTTCAGATTTTAGAAAGATAATACAGCACAGACAACATACACTGAATGTCATCCCAGTGGGACCTGCAATAGCACTCCTTAATCAAACACAAATATTTCTGCAGCAGTGAAACAGATTATTATTCCTACTAAATGAGTCTGTGCTAAAACTTAGAGAAGAAAAGTTCAGTTTTCATAGTTTTTAGATTTTTGGAATTAAGGGATTATAGATATGTATTAGCCAAAGCATGGCCATATTTTCTGTTAAGGAAAGCATATTACTTTTTTCCAAAAAAAAAGCCACAAAATTAAAAATAAGTACTTTCTCTTTTTCTTCCTCTTTTGGGGGGGATAGCAGGCATCACCTTTTACTTGAAATTAAAATGATCTGTATCATTCTTTTCACTAATTTTTTTAAAAGATCATTAATCCATTCCAAAAGGGCCATAAAAGGATACCAAAATGCAATTTGATTTGATTTTGTTTAGCCAGTTGGTAGGCTAGTAATTCAACTTAAAAAAGAAGAATGGACGTATCTATAAATCTTGATCAAAGATTTGGTCATAGATTCTAATAGCATTGGAGCTCTGGCCCAGCTTAGATGTGACAGACACATCTCATAGCCCAATGGTTTCTTCTCCAAAAGTAATAAAGACTATCATTAAGGAAGATACAGAACATCTAACACCAAGTTTTTGTCATCCCTATATTTTAGCTATTTATGCAAAATGACTATATATTTTACAAAAATTATATAAACTACTAGATACACAAAACTGCAAAACTTAACAAAAGGTAGATTTTTTTTCCAGAAGCTGAATTACATAAAAATTTTCCAATATTTTCAAAACTGGGCTGTATAAAAATTCTTCCAAAACCCAAATCATTTTAAAAAATATAAACATATATTACATATATTTTATTTAAAAAAAGTAATTCTAGAAGAATTTAGATGTTTTTTAAAAATTTAAAAAAAAAAATGGATCCTACCATGTTCCCTTTGATAGCTGCCTATATTCTTATGAGTCTAATGCCAAGTAATTTTGGAATTGGATAAAAGAAAAAGAGGCAGAAGACTTGAAGAAGGAAGGAGACAGGGAACCCATGCTACACAGCTCCAATCCTTGACCATCATCTTCTGCCAGTACTGATTCTCCAAAATTCTCCATCACTACTTTGTTACTACTTCCTGTGTTGGGTCAGCTAGTTGAAACATGGTATTATTACGATACCAATACTTTCTGTCTTTGAGTTTTGATGTTACCTCATCTTTCTCTCTTCTCTGTCATTTGAGATAGTATAGACAAAGCCTTCAATTTCTCACTTAAAAAATTATTTTTTAAAACATTTTTAAAATTATTTTCTTCTCAGATATACTTTTAAACATAATGCATACTGTAAAAAATGTTATACCATCAGCTTCACAGAAGTTGTCTGATGAATCATCATGCTTGGTCCACTGAAGAACAGCCTTCTGTGTTTCTTCACTTTAAACAAAGAAATTGAATAGTGTTATTTTTTTAAGCTAACAGTTGATAGGAAAGAAATAAAATATTGCTGAAAACTCAAACCTCAGAGATTCATCCACAGCTCCAAGTCGTTCAGCTTGTTCACATTCTTCAATAAGATTATTGGCTTCCTCAGAATACTAAAATAAAAAGGAGAGTAGGGAAAACTTACTGCATTTTTTAGAATTTTAAAAAAGAATTTAGAAGTCATTTCAGTCTTTTTATACTTGGCACCGTCACCTTGGATTCAAAACCTAAAAAAAAAATTAGAGGGAAATCAAGTCCTCACATTTCTCTTGAAGCTAAAAAACAAATAAAAGGCTTTGCCCCATATACCAGTGTTCACTGCAGCACTATTCATAAATGCCAAAAGTTAGAAACTGAAACATTCATCAACTGATAAACAGATAAATAAAATGTGGTATATATATGTATATACACACACACACAGTGGAATACTACTCAGTCAAAAAGAGGAATGATGCATGCAACAACATGAATGAACCTAGAGGACAATATGCTGAGTGAAATAAGTTGGTCACAAAAGTGTAAGTACTGTGATACCACTTGTATGAAATAAGCAAATACATAGAAACCCTAAGTAATTAGTGGTTACCAAAGTGTATACTAAGAGAATCTTTGTGGTATAAAGAAGTCATCATGGTACAAAAGTTAAGCATTTGGCTGCTAACCGAAAGGTTGGTGGTTCAAAGCAACCCAGCAGCTCTGAGGGAGAAAGACCTGGCAATCGGCTCCCATAAAGATTACAACTTAGAAAACACTATGGGGCAGTTCTGGTCTCTCACATGGAGTCACTATGAATCAAAATCAACTGAAAGGCACCTAACACAACAAGCAAGGAATCAAGAGGTACTGTCCCACTTTTCCAACAACTTAACTGTGGGCATCAGTTTTCCAGAAAATAGTTGGAGTAGATCATTTGTCCAAGGTTCATCCCAATTCTAAATTCCGTAATCCTAAGAATGCTCTGGAATGTACCAAACCATGTAAAAAATATCCCAATATCTTTAGGTAGGTTAGGAGGCATTCTGGTGACATTGTGGTTAAAGCATTGGGCTGTTAACCAAAAGGTCAGCAGTTCAAACCCACCAGATGCTCCACTGGAGGAAGATGAAAAGGTCAGCTTCTATCAAGATTTACAGCCTTGGAAACCCTATGGGGCAGGTCTACTCTGTCCTGTAGGATCATATGAGACAGAATTGACTCAATGGCAGTGGGTTTTGTTTTGGTTTTTTTTTTTTTGGTTATATAGGTTAGTTAGTTAGTTAGCTTTTTAAACTTTTATTGTGCTTTGGATGAAAGTCTACAGAGCAAATTAGTTGTCCATTGAACAATTCACACATTTTGTCATTGATTGAAATCTTCTCAATGTAACATGATTCCTCCCACATCTTCCCTGTTTCTCTTTTCCCTTTCTCTCTTAACCCTTTCTACCTTCTGAACTGTATACTTGGTTGAAAGTACACAACTGAATGGTTGATCTTGAATGGTTGATTGTTCTAACAACTGTGTACCTTCCTAGAATTATTGTTCACCTTGTAGACCCATCTATCATTTGAATGAAAATTCAGCAATAGGAATTAGTTCAATTCCAGAACTGAAGGGTGACCAAGGGCCATAGTCTCAGGGGTTCCACCAGTCTCTATCCAACCAGTAAACCTGGTTGTTTTTATCATGTTGAGTTTTTTTCCACACTTTTTTCCCACTCTATCCAGGGCCTTCTAATGTGATCCCCTTCAGAGCAGCTGGCAGTGGTAGCCAGTCACCATCTGGTTCTTCTGGTCTCAGAGTCACAGAGGCTGAAGTTCATGAGGTCCAATGTTTCCATGTGTCTTTTCTTTTCTGTACTCTTCTTTGCTCCAGATGGTGAGAAACCAATAGTTGCAGTTTAGAATGGCCGCTTGCAAGCTTTTAAGACCCCAGTCACTACTTACCGAAGTAGGGTATAGAACATTGTCTTTATGGACTATGTTGTGCCAACTGACCTTGATGTACCCCAGGACTATGGTCCTGAGTCCCCAGGCCCAATGATTCCCTCAGCATTTGTGGTTATGGCTAATGAGTTTTCATAACTTTGCCCCTGGTATGCTCTACTATACTGGTGGATATATTTGAAGCATAAATAAATACCTATGTAGAAATATCCTTTCTTTAGGTATTTAAACTATATTCTTTAATACCCATGTTCCTTTTCAAAGTCTACCTCACTGTGTATATTTATTCATTCCAGTAGCATAGAGTGCCTAAGGCACTTGACTGCTAACCAGAAGGCTGGCGGTTCAAACCCACCAGCCACTCCTCAGAAGGAAGACTGGGCAATCTACTTCCGCATTGATACCACCTCGGAAACCCAAGGAGGGGTCGCTATGAGTAGGGTCCAACTTGACAGCACGTAACAACAACAGCACACACATGGCACAGGAGAAGTGAGTATGGATCATGAGATTTCACAAAACACCAGTCATCACCACCTAGCAGTTGAAAGAGAACACTGGAAGCAGGAGGCCACAAATTCAATCATTCAACAAATATTTACTGAGTGCCTATTATGACTTTATTTGTTAGAATGACCATACAATTTATGTTCACACTGACACACTTTTGAGGATTAAATAATTAAAGTGATATTGTTTCTTAAAACATTTACTTATTGAAAGGTCAACCTATGAGACAGTTTACGGGGTAAAGAATTTAACTTTATCCAGATAATTTGGTCTTTGTCTTTAGTTCTTGTGAGATAACCTTTCTCCACTGATTGAAGTCCTTCTGTTATTTATAACGGCCCTAGACCTGACAAGGTATGCTTATGAGGTGACTCAAGTTGGGGCTGGCCATGCCTGAAAGACCTACTGCTTGATATGAGCTGAACTTAGGGGAGCAGGGCATGATCCAATCAATCATGACTACATAGAAAGGTCCCAATAAAGAGTCTGGATAAGGAAGCTCCATGGGCTTCCTGGGTAGTGAAAGACATTGATGTAGAGGGGAGGATAGCATGTCCCTTTCTGGGACATGAAGGTCTATGTTGAGCACTCTCCCAGACACCATCCTACACATCTCTTCATCTGCTGCACAGGTATATACATTTGTCAAAATTCAGAAAATGTATAATTAAGATTTATGCATTTCGTTATATATTAATTGTATATAAAAAATACAAAGACAAATATTGAACTCTCCTAGGTGATATACATGTATCTGTTGTTGTTGTTGTCGTTATGTGCTGTCAAGTCGTCTCTGACTCATAGCGACTCTAGGCACGGCAGAACAAAACACTGCCCAGTCTTGCCTGGTACATGTACCTAGGTACATATATCTGTGTAAGGGGACATGCATTGATTCCTATAGTTTGTTTTGAAATACATCCAAAAAGTAAAATATTTTGATAGATGTCTGGCTATATGGATGGATAGAAGGACATATATATATATGTCATGACGTAAGTACATTAATAGTAGGATTGAGGTGGTAGGTATAGGAATGTTTATAGGCAACTTCCTTCAACTTTTCTATGTCTTTAAAAATTTTCAGAATGAAATACTCGGAAAATTTAGTTTAGAACAGTTCCTTAGTCCAAATGAAAAATCATGTATCATAGAATAAAATGTAAATGCATCCTCTGCAGATGCACCTGTTAAACTGTCTTTAGACATACCTTCTTAAAATAACCAGTGATTTACCAAGTAGGCCCTGAAGCTTTGTCAGAAGATTTGTGGATTCTGGTTTTCACATGACCAGTGATATATCTATGGCCCTTATGATAGAAAATGTTGACCTGTGTGCAAGTTACATATTATCATCAACTCTCATAAAAAAGATGCAATAAAGGAAAAAAACAGTATAACAAGACTACTCTCTCTATGCAGAATTGATTCAGCTTCTATTTCCCATACATATTTCTCTTAAGTCTCACCTATAATTTTCCCACTGACTTTCCTGCCACCTGGTGGCCTAGCAGCTTATTGCATGCGTGACACAGCCCACGATACAAAGGGCTACTAACTCAAAGAAGCCAGCAGGGGGCAACAGTGTCCAACACTTCTGCCCTGAGCCCTCCTCCCCACCCCCACCTCCCAGGAATGTAAGTTTGTGTCCCTAGCCATTTGTATCTAAGAATAATTATTTTATCAGCAGGTATCCAATATATTGCCCTAGAGAGAGAAGTTTAGTTTCTTTGCATCTGGAAAGGGCTGAACAAAGAAAAGTTCTCATTGGTCATCTTTGTGTTGAAGTGAAAATGCTTTTTGTCGCACATATATCTTGCATATGTGAGAGGAGATAACAGAGGAAGGTGGAAATACAAAGTATTTGGTCTACCAATTCCATCCCAACTTATTTTAATACAACTGTTAATAATATTTTATCTTAAAAAATGAAAGCTGCTAAAGAATAATGTAGAATCTGCAAAACACCACATAACGTGGATGAACTTGGAGGACATTATGCTGAGCGAAATAAGTCAGTCACAAAAGGACAAATATTGTATTAGTCCGTTATTGTAAAAGTTAAGGAAAGGTTTATCTATTGGAGGACATTTTCTTTGTTGGTTACCAGGGCTGGGAGGGGAGGGGAGGGAATGCTGTTAGATAGACAGAGATAAATATTGATTTGGGTGAAGAGAAGGGCAATGTACCAAATGTGAGTGACCAATATGGCAGCATTGAGGATGAGAAAGACATAGAGAGTTACATGGGCAGTACAGACAACAAATATGAACCCCTTTGCATATACAATACTGAGTTGTCAGTGAAAGCAAACATGGGTATAGGGACGGATAGAGAGGTGAACTAGCTAAACAATTAGGTATGTCTAAATGGGGAGTGTATCCAAGATCATATATAGGGTTGGCAGACAATGGGCCTATAAGTTCATGTGAATGATCAGAATTCCCAGGTGTATAGTAGAGCTGACAAGGGGCAAGGTTATGGTCATTACTTGGTCACAGCCAGCTACCCAGAGGGACCGAGTAGTTCATCCTGCGGGCTTGGGACCATAGTCACAGGGGACATCAAGCTCAATTGGCATAACATACTATACAAAACATTGTTCCACCTCCTACTTTGGCGAGTAGCGACTGGGACCTTAAAAGCTAGGAAGCTGCCATCTAGATGCAACAACG